GTGCTGGACCTGTAGCTCCAGTCCCCCCTCTACTGGCAGAGGGTTGGTGCTGGACCTGGAGCTCCAGCCCCCCCTCTACTGGCAGGGGGTTGGTACTGAACCTGTAGCTCAAGCCCCCCCCCCTCTACTGGCAGGAGGTTTGTGCAGGACCTGTAGCTCCAGCCCCCCTCTACTGGCAGGGGGTTGGTGCTGGACCTCTAACTACAGACCCCCTCTACTGGCAGGGGGTGGGTACTGGACCTGTAGCTCCAGCCCCACTCTACTGGCAGGGGGTTGGTGCTGGACCTATAGCTCCAGCCCCACTCTACTGGCAGGGGGTTGGTGCAGGACCTTTAGCTCCAGCCCACCTCTACTGGCAGTGGGTTGGTGCTAGACCAGTAGCTCCAGCCCCCCCTCTACTGGCAAGGGTTTGGTGCTGGACCTGTTGCCCCAGCCCCCCTCTACTGGCAGGGGGTTGGTGCTGGACCTGTACCTCCAGCTGCCCCTCTACTGGCAGGTGGTTGGTGCTAGACCTGAAGCTCCAGCCCCCCTCTACTGGCAGGGGGTTGGTGCTGGACCTTTAGCTCCTCCCCTTCTCCAAACTGGCAGGGGGGTTGGTGCAGGACCTGTAGCTCCAGCCCCCCTCTACTGGCAGGGGGTTGGTGCTGCTGGACCTGTAGCTCCAGCCCCCTCTACTGGCAGGGGGTTGGTGCTGGAACTGAATTTCCAGCCCCCCCTCTACTGGCAGGAGGTTGGTGCTGGACCTGTAGCTCTAGCCCCCCTCTACTGGCAGGGGGTTGGTGCTGGACCTGTAGCTCCAGCTGCCCCTCTACTTGCAGGGGGTTGGTGCTGGACCTGTAGCTCCAGCCCACCTTTACTGGCAGGGGGTTGGTGCTGGACCTGTAGCTCCAGCTCCCCTCTACTGGCAGGGGGTTGGTGCTGGACCTGTATCTCCAGCCCCCCTCTACTGGCAGGGGGTTGGTGCTGGACCTGTACCTCCAGCTGCCCCTCTACTGGCAGGGGGTTGGTGCTGCACCTGTAGCTCCAGCCCACCTCTACTGGCAGGGTGGTGGTGCTGCACCTGTAGCTCCAGCCCCCCCCCCCCACTCTACTGGGAGGGGGTTGGTTCTGGACCTGTAGCTCCAGCCCCCCCCCCTCTACTGGCAGGGTGGTGGTGTTGGACCTGTAGCTCCAGCCCCTCTCTATTGGCAAGGGGTTGGTGCTGGACCTTTAGCTCCAGCCCCACTCTACTGGCAGGGGGTTGGTCCTGGACCTGTAGCTCCAGCCCAACTCTACTGGCAGGGGGTTGGTCCTGAACCTTTAGCTCCAGCCCCACTCTACTGGCATGGGGTTGGTACTGGACCTGTAGCTGCAACCCCACCTCTACTGGCAGGGGGTTGGTGCTGGACCTGTAGCTCAAGCCCCACTCTACTGGCAGGGGTTTGGTGCGGGACCTGTTGCCCCAGCCCCCCCTCTACTGGCAGGGGGGTTTGTGTTGGACCTGTATCTCCAGTCCCCCCTCGACTGGCAGGGGGGTTGGTGCTGGACCTGTACCTCCAGCCCCCTCTCTACTGGCAGGGGGTTGGTGCTGGACATGTAGCTCCAGCCCCCCCTCTACTGGCAGGGGGTTGGTGCTGGACCTGAAGCTCTAGCCCCCCCCCTCTACTGGCAGGGGGTTGGTGCTGGACCTGAAGCTCTAGCCCCCCCCCTCTACTGGCAGGGGGTTGGTGCTGGACCTGAAGCTCTAGCCCCCCCTCTACTGGCAGGGGGTTGGTGCTGGACCTGAAGCTCTAGCCCCCCCCCCGTCTACTGGCAGGGGGTTGGTGCTGGACCTTTACCTCCAGCCCCCCCCCCCCTCTACTGGCAGTGGGTGGGTGCTGGACCTGTAGCTCCAGCCCCCCTCTACTGGCAGGGGGTTGGTGCTGGACCTGTAGCTCCAGCCCCCCCTCCTACTGGCAAGGGGTGGGTGCTGGACCTGTAGCTCCAGCCCCCCTCTACTGGCAGGGGGTTGGTGCTGGAGCTCCAGCCCCCCCCCCTCTACTGGCAGGGGGTTGGTGCTGAACCTGTAGCTCAAGCCCCCCTCTACTGGCAGGGGGGTCTGTGCTGGGCCTGCATCTCCAACCACTTCTCTACTGGAAGGGGGTTGGTGCTGGACCTGTAGCTCCAGCCCCCTCTACTGGCATGTGGTTCGTGCTGGACCTGTAGCTCTCTACTGGCAGGGGGTTGGTCTTTGACCTGTACCTCCATCCCCCTCTACTGGCAGAGGGTTGGTGCTGAACCTGTAGCTCTAGCCCCCCCTCTACTAGCAGGGGGGTTGGTGCTGGACCTGCATCTCCAACCCCTTCTCTACTGGAAGGGGGTTGGTGCTGGACCTGTAGCTCCAGCTCACCCTCTACTGGCAGGGGGTTGGTGCTGGATTGTAGCTTCAGCCCCCTCTACTGGCAGAGGATTAGTCCTGGATGTTGTGATGGTGTCCCCTACAGTTTCTCCCATATGCCAGGTTTAAGAGTCATATCAGCTTACCTGCAGGTTCTCTGAGGCGCAGGGAATCTTTTGAGGTATGAGGCTTTCAGAATGGTTGTTAATTTGGGGAGAAATTTGCGTTTGTAAATTTGCAGAGAAGTGGAAAATTCGCGCCCTGGGTACAACAAAATGGCGCCGCCTGGCTTACAAATCCATCATTTTGTGTACGACGCCCTCTGATTCGGTGGCTGAGGTCACATGACTTCATTGACCAATCAGAGCCCGCCCCTGGGTCTGTGACGTCACCGAGAGACCTGGCCCGCCTGCAGAGCACCAGGCGCTCAGAGATACTCGGCGCTTCGTTGAGAGCGGACGTGCGCCGATTGAGCTCTCTAGTTTTGAGGTCTAGGAGCCTCCATAAGTGGATATACACAGCCTGACGAGTATATAGTGACTAACAAGGACTGCAGAACTTCAGGGAAGTGCGAGGAAGCCTAATCCAGCGGTGAAAGGGCGCCGAGGACCGTGTGCTAATAGTTTTGGAGAAGTTGAGAGAGTTACGACGGCTGGAGGAGTGAGTGACTCGCTGTCGGTGGAACTCCAAAGCATTCAGAGCTGTTGTGATCAGATCACGCCCACTAGGAACTCAGAAGGAAGAAAGTGCATCCTGATCCTTGAGTGTGGTCTCGGTGAAGGAATGCTTGAGGGAACGACGCATGCAGTGACGAATGGATGAGCCAACGCCCAGGAACATCACTCAGGGAATGAGCACGGAGATGCCGAGGATCTTCACACCTATGGACTGGTGATGCTTCTGGAACACTGGGAACAACGCGAGGAACGGAGTACCCAACGGGTGACTGGAGCCTAGGTGTCTGAGGACGGGATATGTTAAGGTAGATCATATTTCCCTCCCATAATTCCCTTGATTGTTAGGCAAGATAAGCCTATTATTATGCGTAGGCATTTATTAGAGTGCATATAAGTCATAGGAGTAGATTAGGCTGTGGGACAGCACGTATATATTATTCTACTGAGTGGTGAAGACAGCGTGTGGCCGCCCGTGGAGGAGTGAGGAGCGACGCTGACGGAGCCGCCCCAGTGAGGAGGGGCCAGTGATCCCTTTAATTCATCAGCTGATGCGAGCTGCTGGCGGCCACCAGAGGAGCCTTGCTGTCATCATTATTATTATTATTTCCATAAATTCATACATGTATCTTGTGTGTTGTAGTATACTTTGAGTAAACTTTTACTATTTTATCACTGCTTTTGGTATAACCTCCATCTCATTGAGCTTTGTGGTTAATAACATGATTATACTGTACTGTTACTGGAATGACAGAGAGAGAGACCCTGTGTTGGCAACACGACATGAGATTTGAACACTGGTACTGGCATTCCCTAATGAGTGACCCTGAGGTGGCAACATGACTGTACATTTGAATTCTAGTATTGGCAGCACACAGTAAGGTCCTAGGCTGCTGTATATATATTATATTTGAACTAACGGCGTTGCTGGGACGCAGAGAGAATTACCCAGCTGACGACCAGGAAGGAAGAGGTGGAAGTGAGGCTACGGCCGGAAGTCCGGCAAATTCTCTGCACGCACAGGTGGGCAGGCCCGGTGGAGAAGTCACATACTGCAGGATTGAGTTTAGTAGTGTGGGCTGGGCCTTCTCCTCTCCTCCTTGGGTCCAAGGTCAAGTGGTGACCGGTCTTGAGGCATGACTAGGAGAGCTCCCTGGGGTGATATGTGATACCCTAGTGGAGGGAGTGAAGTCCCATGGCATGAGGTTATAGGATCAGTAGCACGATCCCCATCTGTTTAACTGTAACCTCATGTAACACAAGGCCAAGGTGAGCGGTGCGTGACAACCTGTAGCTCCAGCCTCTATCTACTGGCAGGGGGTTGGTGCTGGACCTGTAGCTCCCACCCCCCTCTACTGGCAGGGGGTTGGTGCTGGACCTGTAGCTCCTGCCCCCTCTACTGGCAGGGGGTTGGTGCTGGCATTGTTTGGGAATTTGTTGGCAGTTTCAAGGCTTCAGTCTCTTGGAACCCAGCAGTGGTCTGTTTTGGTTCACTGTCTTCCTGAATGCTTTCCCGGTAGGTTGGTGGAGTGTCTCTCGCTCTCTGTGCCTCTGTGAGGGGGGCCAGGATCCCGGGTTCAATTGAGGATCACGGGTTCAATCACCGAACCTGTGGCTCGGAGCCGGTGGCTGAGCGGACAGAACACTGGACGCGTGATCCTGTGATCCCGAGTTCGATTCTGGGTGCCAGTGAGAAACAACGGGCAGATTTTCTTTTACCTTGATGCCCCAGATACCTAGCAGTAAATATTTACCTCGGAGTTAGTCAGCTGGCATGAGCTGCTTCCTGGGGGTGGAGGCCTGGTCAAGGACCGGGCCGCGGGGACACTAAGCCCCGAAATCATCTCAAGATAACCGTGCAGCACAGAAATGGTTCACATGTTTCCTTCCATCTGATGCCTCTGTTTACCTACCAGTAAATCTTTATCCAGGAGTTAAGCATCTACTGTGAATTGTATGTTAAGGAAAGTCTATAGTTGACCTTGGGGAACCTCGATATACTTAAGAACAAACTTCCTCTCCTCAAAACGCAACTCAATATCTTGTGATATGGTCTATGAGAGAAAATAAAAAAACTTACTGATAATTGCTTCTGGGGGATCTGTAGAGTGATTTCCTGAACTTTATCCATGATGCTGAAGGCTGAGTCTCCCAGGTGTACGGGGTCAGCTGTGGCACCTGTCTCTGTGGTCATCATCTCCAGGGCCTCCCTGATGGTCTCCTGCACCTGTCATTACCAACACAAACATTAATGGTGGAGGCTGAGTCTCCCAGGTGTACGGGGTCAGCTGTGGCACCTGTCTCTGTGGTCATCATCTCCAGGGCCTCCCTGATGGTCTCCTGCACCTGTCATTACCAACACAAACATTAATGGTGGAGGCTGAGTCTCCCAGGTGTACTCAGCTGTGGCACCTGTCTCTGTGGTCATCATCTCCAGGGCCTCCCTGATGGTCTCCTGCACCTGTCATTACCAACACAAACATTAATGGTGGAGGCTGAGTCTCCCAGGTGTATGGGGTCAGCTGTGGCACCTGTCTCTGTGGTCATCATCTCCAGGGCCTCCCTGATGGTCTCCTGCACCTGTCATTACTAATACAAACATTAATAGTGGCACCTGGTCTATAATGAAGCATCAGGCTCTGAGTAAAGTAACTGGACTATAATGAAGCATCAGGCTGTGAGTAAAGTAACTGGACTATAATGAAGCGTCAGGCTCTGAGTAAAGTAACTGGACTATAATGAAGCATCAGAATGAGTAAGTAATTTGACAACATAAGTAATTTTGTTTCTCTACACTGACCACAGTGTAGAAAAACACCAAGATGACAGTTGACTTTATTAATAAAAATGTTTCAGGTGTTAGAGCAAAATGTTTCCTATATATAAAGTCAACTCTCATCTTGATGTGTCTCCATGTCAAAAGTGTTTATATAGAGGCAATACTACACTCAGTTGGGTGAGAACAATGTGACCTTCAGCAGCGTACCTTCACTGAGGTGTGGACAGTCTTGACATTTGAGAAGAGTTCCCGGCACTTCTGGAGCCAATCTTCTACCTTCATGCTGCACTCATCAGCTGTGCCTATGGTTGTGTAAACTTCCTGTGGGGTGTTGACTGTGTCGAGGCTCCCCAACATGGCCTGCAGCTGAGTCTTTCCTTCCTCTCCTTGTGTTGTCAGATCCACCACACTGGTATCCTCCAGTTCCAAGAGCTTCATTGCTGACTTGTTCTCCTCTACCAGAGCATAGAGTCTGTCCTGGAGCTGGAGGTGGCAAGTCTTCCAGTCCCCCAGCTGCCCCCGGTACTCCCCCAGCTGGGACAGTACCTCTTCACAGCTAGTAATGAGGCTGCTGATACTGCTCTTCTGCTCCTGCACCAGGGAATCTAACTTCTTTTTTACTGGTACAGTTTTCTTTTGTGTTAGCTGGATATCTTTCAGTTTCCTAACAAATGCCTCCACAGCATAGCTAATTGGGAACTGAGTAGCAGCTGTGGCAGCATGCTCGGCACGGCAGCTGGGGCAGGTTAGTTGACCATTCTCGATAGCATTGTCAATACACTGGGAGCAGAATGTGTGGCCGCACGGCAGTGTGCGAGGCCGTAGCTGATTGTCATCATAATCGTTATAACACACTGAACATTCCTCTGGCTTGTTATCCTGTGGAAAGAATATTTGGTTAAGCTATATGTATTATTACAGTACAGTGTCACCTCGAAAAAAAGTAATATTACAGTACAGGTACTTTATTTACTAATAGTAATTTTATAATATTTACATACATTTTTTGTATTAGCTATTCAAGAGCAGAGTTAATATTACTGACAGATTAACATATCCACAGAAGGGCCAATATTTTTTATAAATATATCCCGGAGTATAGGATAATATTTTTAGGTAACATATGGCAGCAGTAGGGCTGCTTGCAAGCCGTACCCGAGATTACAGACTAACAAAACCCGTCCTTACTTTCTTACGAATATTGGAAGGAAATGTATTTATCGTATGTGATAATGGAGGAAAGATCAAGTATTCTTAGTTTAAGTTGGTCTTAATCCCTCGAAAGGGAAGACAACGAAGGGAGCGCAAGTCCCTCAAGATGCTCACAAAGTAATGGGAGTACTTAAGCGAATTTTCATTGTGGGAGATTCCCAGGTGAGGTATTTGGCTAAAACGTTTTGTGCCAGGGATAGGGGAAACAAGTTAAGGGTTTGCTATTCGGGAGCAGGAATTGGTGATATTGTTAACAACATGAATGATGTTATAACTGGAAATGGGAACAAACCCATTATTTGTATCAGTGCCGGTGAAAATGTTGTAGGACAAGTTAGGAGTGAGACACTGATACAGAGGTCTAAGACAGCCATAGAATTAGGAGCAAGGGAGGAATCCCGGTCATATGTGGCATTCTTCCAAGAAAGGGAGATGGAAACGAATAGTTGACGAGAGCACTTGGTGTCAATTGCCAACTGGACAAATATTGCAAATTAAATGCAATATCATTCGTAGATAACTGGGAACACTTCAATGGAAGAAATGACATGTATGCTCAGGACGGGGTGCATCTATCTAGGGCTGGGGTGGTTGCTGTTGCCAACTCATTGGAACCTGTGGTTGGAGGGGTTTGTTTTGGTTTAAACTGTAACTGGATAGGTTATAGAAATTGATATGGAGAAAGGAGGTATTAAAAGTATGTGTTAGTGGAGGAAGCAAATTGGCAAAATGAACAGGGGAAAGAGAAGTGCCTCAAAATAACAATACACTTAAGGTATATTACACGAATAGTAGGAGTCTAAGAAACAAAATACACAATTTAAATGCTCGTCTGCACAGAAAAAAAAATTATATTATTGCACTTACCGAAACATGGATGAAAGTAGAAAATAAAGAACTAATAGCTGAATATCAAATAAGCGGATTTAAACTATTTCACACAGATAAATATATTAGACGAGAAAGGGGGAGTAGCCATATATGTTCGGGAAAATTTGAAATGTAGTCTCAAAGAGGGAATCAAAACTGAGCTACACACAGAAACTATTTGGTTAGAATTAAATGAAAAAGCTATAATCTTATAATAGGAGTTATATAAAGGCCACCAAACTTTGACAGGATGGAAGCAAAGCATCAATGGGATGAAATATCTAGAGCATCTAGGTCAAGCAGCATTTGTGTCATGGGTGACATAGCTACTTACACAGTCAGCTGGTGGCGGCCGCCCTCAAGGCCAGATGCACTAATATTTCTCCTCCAACAATACTGTTTGTGGTGTTATTACCCTATATATGCACATTATATATAAGTATCTACCTGTTTTATTCACCATACTTGTACAAGTAAGCTGGTATGGTGCCCAAAGACCATTGTGGCTACCAGTAAACAACATAAGTTGTGCTCTCAACCTACTCCTATTGCTGTTATTACACTCTGTACACACGTTATATATAAGTATCTACATTTGTGTTCACCAAAGCCAACTACTAAGCTGGTATGGTGAGTGCAGTCAATAAAAGGTGGCCACACACAGTCAGAAGACAACGCCACCACCCTCCCTCCCACAGCATTACTCCTCCCTCCATGGAGCACAGTGCTAAATATCACCACAATCCTACTATTATCAGAATCCTGGTCAGTTTTATCACAGTCAGGGGTCTTCTGTAATAATATCTTCGCTAAATAATAGCAAGAACATGTATATTATGGCATTTTTAGGCAATGCTGTGGTCACAAGCTGAACAGCAGTGCTGTGAGCTCATGCTGCGTGCGTCAGGCTTGGTTGCTTACTCAATACTGAGGCCCCTCACACTCAGGAATTTGGCCCACGATTTTTTTTTAAATGGCGTCTGTTTACAAGAGCCCTGATGAAAGTGTGGTGAACCCTGTATATCCGCGGGCCGTTAAATCTTGCGTAGTACTCCAATACATCATATGATGTGTAGTGCAAGTTACTGCACATCACTGAACACATCATATGATGTGTTGCGCAGTTAACGGGTTAAGGAACCAATGCAGGAAAATAATATTTTAAACTTAGTGCTAACAGGGAAACACAAATTAATGAAATTGAAATAGGGAGTGAGCTAGGGAACAGAGATCATAAAGAAATCAGATTTAGCGTAGAATGGAATAGATTTATATGAGAAAATTCTGTTAAGGTGCCAGATTTTCAAAAAGCTGATTTTAATGATCTAAGAATGTTTTTGGGTGAAATAGAGTGGAAAGTCCTGGGCACGGGAAGTGGGCTGGTCTTGGTGCGAGACGAGAACCCAGCAATTGGTGATGTAAAGAGGGATTTCAATGTGTATTCAAAATTTAACTTATCTAACAAAATTCTAAACAAAGCACAGGAACGTAGTATGCCATACAGATTGAATAGATCGAATTCTAATGACCCGAAATGGATAACAAAGGATCTGAAGAATCTTATATGTAGAAAGAGAGCTTGGTACAAAAGGATTAGAAATGGGAAATTCAGTTTAGAACAAGAATTCATCCAACTGGTTAGAAATGTTAAAAAACCACCATTGAATGTAATGAAACATCATTTTCTGGGTGAGTCCCTTCGACTCCTCGGAGCTATCTAGGCTGATAAAGACATCCCTAACCTTTGGCATCAGTGTGGATGGAGTTCTAGGCTTACCGGGGACCACAAGCCAGAATCTGGCCCTCTCAGAGAGGCACGAGGAGCAATGGCCTATAGAAATGCATATGTGATTTGGAGCATTCTATATCTGCCATCGACAGGGACAGGCACCCTGAAAGGTAAGCGTCTCAAAACAAACCCATATTCTGGTTAAAACAACAAAAATAGCCAAACAAGTGGACAGAACTCCCCAAATGAAAACGAGCAATCAAGCATGATGTCACACGAGCTGTGCAGCATGTCTGCACAGCTCCACCCTCCCCGGGAAAGGAGGTGGAGCTGTCCAACTTAGTCTGGCTGTCAAAACATGCGAAAAAACGCCAACAAAGGGGAGGGGGGGGGGGGGGGGTTTGACGGGGAGCCTCCGGGGGCTAACCCAGAAAATGGCGTTTCATTACATTCAACGTTGGTTTTCTGGGGGGAACCCCTTCGGCTCCCTGGAACTACTTAACCAAAGACAAAAACTAGAGGAACTTACCCGGGAGTCGATCAATACTCACATCTCAACACGAAATCGAGACAATAGGCTGCAACCGCCGACCCAAAGCGATACAGGCCCGACTAGGCCCAGGAACAATCATGAGGTAGCATGCAGCCAGGACCCTGTTTGACCGCCAAAAACCCCGTGCCCGATTGTCAGCCCAAGAAATGTTACCGAAGATGGCAGCAAGAGCAGCAAACTTACGAACGTCATGGGCACGGAGATAGACCACAAACTAGGTGGACCGAATAACCCTGCGGAAAACCTGAGAGACCCAAACCCGGGAACAGGGAAGAATGGAAACCGGCGCAATTCAAAGCGCGTCCCTGGCCACCGAGGCTGTGGCACGCAAATAACGGCAGAGCTCTGCAACCGGACGCAACACATGATGAACCCCGGCCTGACTAAAGTTAATTGATGATCTCTGTCAGAAAAGGAGACAGCTGCAAGCAAACAGCCTAACACGAAGGACCAAAGGAGTAGAAAAACTGCGCCGGAGGAGAGCATGAAGCTCCCCCGACCCGACCCCCAGAGGCCAATGTTAACAAGAAAAGAGCCTCGGAAAAACAATCCAGAACTGAAGGGGTCACAAGAAACTGAAGAGAAGAGAGGAGAAAGCCCCAAATCAAAGGAGCAGGACGGCTCAAGCGGCACATGAGCAGGCCGGAGGTGAACCACACCAGAGACAGCTCGCGAATTGGTGCAGAAAGAACACCAAAACCAAAGTAAACCGGAGCAGCTCCACCAGTGCCGCACAAGACAAGGTGACAGTATGTGGTAAGATGACAGTCCTGAACCGCCACAAAAGAAGGATAAGACTACACCAAAAAAAACACAGCCTACCTATGAAGGGACAAAAAGAAAAGGGAAGGACCGCCAAAAAAAACATACCGCCGCCGAGACGAAGCACACAGGTGGGACACCATCAACAAAGCCACCTGAACACCAACAGATGGTGAGAGACTCGAGACAGAAGTATCAGACTGGAAGACTCGAGGCGGAAACCGAACCAGCCCTGTCACAGATCGGACCGAGCATGGGAAAAGGCGGAGCTGTGGGAAAACCCCGGATGCGAACACTAAGCAAGCAGCGCCAGAAATCAAGGCAAGCAAGGAACCAGATGGAACGTCTGCCATACAGAAAATTCCCCAATACTAGCAAGCTCCTCAGGAGATCGGAGACGCCGTGGTCCCGTCGCGAAACTCGTGAGAAGTGTCATCTTGAGATGAGGAACGTGTCAACTGGTGGGTTAAGCCAGGAAACCAGGAACTCAAACCCGACGAGCCAGAAAAGAACCAACCCAGGCGAGCAGACATGCCCTTTCCAGGGGGAAACCCTCCAGGACCCCTGTAGGACCAACAAGTTCGACAACGGATAACAACATGAAGCCGCTAGCAGAAAAATGCCAAACCGCAGGCGCTGCAAACAGCAAGAACAAAATTGCGACGAAAACCTAATAGTCAGGGCCCAGGTCGAGGTCAACAAGAAAGTAAGCATCACGAGTCGAAATGCAAGACGCGTTGCAAAATACAGGGA